GGGGGGGGGGGGGCGGAAACCAGGAGAACAACTCATTAGAGTTTACAGGCTAGTCAACAAACTAATTAGTCTCATTTTCATGTAACAATTCAGACGATGTTTATTTTTACCAGAGTTAATTTTTTTTTTTTTGGTAAAAATTAGTCACAGACGTGCTCTGAATGTCTGAAGCTGTGTTAAATGTTCCTACTGTATTACAACGTTTTGCCTGAGGGTGACAACCACGTCACAGTCTCTGCCAAGTGGCTGTTGTCCTGTTTTAACGGTTGGCTTAACAGCAAGTGCGGACCTGTTTCTTTTCCTGATGGTGGAAGGGTTTCATGCGACTCTTACGTTTATGTCAAATTTAGTTTGTGTTTTTTCGTATGGTACGTAAACCTCGCGCTCATGGGCGTAGTCTTGGCCAATCAAAATGGCAGGGAAATAATGCACAGGAAAACGGAAATATGAAGATGAACACAGGACGTTTTTTAGTCGGAGAGGTTTTGTTTTTTTTAACATACTGGGAAGCGATTCTGCCTCATATGTCAGGTGTCGCTAGTGCATTTCAAGGCTTCAAATCTTCAGCAGCACTTCACTAGTTCAGTTCACTCCATGCTAACATAGACCAGGACTTTCCTAAAGGGAACTTCTGTGGCAGTAACACAGTGAAAACGGTGGCTCTAAGCCTCTGATTGAATAGAAAATAAATGAGAGACCAGCAATATCACAAAATAACAGATCTCTGCAAGATTATCCGTGTCACGCCTTATGTTCGTACAGTGGTTTTCAAACTTGTTATCCTCTGTATCACCTGAGAAAACCTTAGCAGCAGAGGCCTTCACTGTCAGCGTCCACCACAGGGGAGACGTTTAAATGTTGTATTAATGTTGCACGGTATGTTTCAGATTTATTCAACTGAAAATGTAAATGTGAAAATATGAATTTTTCCCGCGTACCACTAGAGGGCGCTTGCGTACCACTGATGGTACACGTACCACAGTTTGAGAACCACCGTGTTAGTACATAGCAATACTGCACTGTGCAAAAGTTTAAGGCAAACTTTTTTTTTTGACAGTTTATATACAAAAATTGAAATAGGATTTGTCGTCACTACCACGTGTCTTCATCATCTTCGTGTCTTCATCATCTTCGTGTCTTTGTTGCACTGAGGTGTACAGAAAACTCTAGACAAAATCATCCGTCAGGCAGACCGACAGGAGAATTCTGAATATATGGTGACAGGACTCAAAGGTTTGACCTGGTATCAGCGTGTCTGATACCAGGACATCTTGAATGTCTAGTCACCTGCGCTTCCACTGAGTGGAACCAGATGTCCATATATGGAGTAGTGGAGAACGAAGAGGACAAAAAGTTTTGAAGAACAAATGTGAGGAGTGTCCTCTGAACCTGTCCTACCGGCCTGCTCCCAGTTTCACAGATGAGAGATACTGGCTCCTCAGCTCTGGTGTTGTGATAGTGTCTTAGAGAGAGAGAGGGAAGAGCAAGTAAAAGTTCAACTGAGCCAATGAGACAGAGTTTATAGAACTGTGAAGAAAAAGTTTCATTGAAAAGTGGTATGCGTTAGATAAACCTTAGCTGAAAAAAAAACCCCTATTCTTCAACAGTACAACAATGTTATTGACTTCCACCTGGCACTGAGGCGTTTTAGTTTTTGAAAAGCAGGAGCTTTGTATCTTTTTGGATCGTGTTTGTCAAACACAGGAGATGAATTGATTACATTTAGAAATATTTTGCTTCTCTCTGGTTCCTCTTATCAAGGCTGCATCTGATGGACCTGTGGGTAAAGTCACCTTTTTCACAGCGTGAGCTCAGCTGAGTGGTGGACGAGTCGGCTTTTTACTGTATTGTTTATTCTAAAATCCCTCCTCTCACCAAATGTCACGGCAGGTGAGTTCCACGTGGCTGGATCATCACAGGGTAAATGGAACTTGTTCTTGTCCTTACCTGCTGGGCGGCTCTGTCAGTCAAATTGAAAGGGGACGATTCTACCAATGGGATACCACGGATGATCACAAGTCTTTTTTTTTTTCCCCCAAGTTCGAGACAAGTCTCGAGTCTTTTTCCCCATGTCAGGTCTCAAGTCCAAATATTTGCACTTGTGTCCCAGTCAAGTCTCATATAATTTTGCAGCAATACCAAGTCAAGTCTGAAGTCCAAGTCTTTACACCCCTGGCCAAGTCAAGCCCCGTCTCTTTGTGAGGCAATACCAAGTCGAGTCTCGAGTCTTTCAGAACAGAAACAATAATTCCATGACATATTCAAGTCAAGTCTTTCCAGGGCCAGTCTGAAGTAAAATGTTGAATCTTTGGTTGTGCAACTTGAAACTTGTAAAAAACAGTCATAGACTCGAGTCCCCATCTCGGCTGCAAACGTCAGTAGCGTTCTAGCTGAGCTGGTGTTATACCAGTGACGCTGAGGTGACCAGTTCATGGAACTTAAGGACAGAAGAACGACAAATTCAACTGTTACTCGCACATGATTTGTTTTGCATTTGTCTGACGTTGCCATTTGTCCTCCTCGTGATGTCATGATGTTATTGAGCTGAAAACATGTCGTTCACTCTGACGAGTGCTTTGTTCACATTTCCTGGTATAACTGACGCAGGCACAAAGAAGTCGTGAAGCTGCTGAGAAAAACCGGAGCCCACTTCTCCAGGGACAAGTTGGAGGACGCCGGAGCTGAACTGTGCAAGTAAGACACACAGACGCACAGACACCAGAACACGTCCAACGACTCCAACACAGATAGTCAGAAATATCTCCCTGGCTCCGCCGTACACAGTGACCCATCCTACATAGCTGACTGAGGTACAACCAGTCGGCCCACTCTGACATGAGCTGCAGGAATGTTCCCTGGCAGCATTGTTTCAGATCCGCTCCACATCTCGGCTGTGGGCAAGTATACCACAGTGGCCGGCCTCTGTTGTTTATCTGCCAGAGACGCTCGATGAGAACTGTTAGATCTGTTCCAATTAGGAGTTTCAGAGTCACGCCTCGCGCCAGGTACGACAGGAATGGCTGGTGGCGTGTGGTTAAAATACAATAAATAAAACCTCGTCCGTCAGTGAGTCATGACGATAATTGTTTTCTCCTCTCATCTGTAAATGTATCCTGCCTTTCACACAGTGTATTTGAAGGCGATGTTAATAACAGTAATGTGAGAAATGGAGAGGTTTTCACACTCGCACCTCCGTCACTTCCTCCGTTTCAGTCTGGCAGCCATCGGTGACCTGGAGGGCCTGGAAATCTGGAGCCTCGCCGGAGCGGACCTGAGCAAACCAGGCTACGATGGACAGACGGTGATTCAAGTGGTGTGTTTCTGGGGGGAGACGTTAATAAAAGCTGTAAAACAAAAAAAAAAAGTTGTAAATTAAAAGTCGTTCTCACTCCTTGTCCTCCTCACAGGCTCAGGCTGTTGGCAAACAGGAAGTCGTAGCATTTTTAGTTCAGCTCATGAACAATAAAGCCAAGGTAATTATGCTGCGTTTTTTTTTATTTTTTTAATTCTAGCTGTTCTATTTCTATTCCTCCCTTCCTTGTTTGTTCCAGTAACAGCAGTTTACAGATGAACTCCACTGTCCTTAACCTGCCTCTGAATTCCTAAATCTTTGTTTTGTTTAATTTCAGACAGTATTTGGTGAATTTAATTCGTATGATGAATATGATGATGATGATGAGGAGGTAATTGAGAACGTGTGTGTGTGTGTGTGTGTGTTCATCAGTCAGCCCATGATCACGCTCTGCTTGGCTTCTTCGTCCTTTCCTTTGTGCCCCTCACCCTGTGAAAATCCATCCATCTTCAACACACTTTTGCAATCCTTCTCAAGTTTGTGCTCGTATCCCATCATGCATTGCCCACGGAACTTTCCCGCTTCATGTTCCAAAGCAACAGCAAATTTGCTCAGAGCTGTGAACTCAAATCAAACTGAGGAGCACAGAGTTGGACTGGGATTAAAAAAAAAAAGACAAAGAGAAACGACAGGGATCACAGCGAGAACGAGCGTTTTAATCCGTAATCTGAGGATTAGTCCACACCTAGATCCAGAATAGTTGTTGTGCTGTCTAAGGCTATAGTTGTGTGTGTGTGTGTATTGGCAAGGATCTGGTGATACAGTATGTATCACAATACAGGGACAACAATACGATATATTGTGATATCGTACGATACTATCGTATCGTTATTTTTTAAAACAGTTTAATTATAGGAAAACCGTAAACACACAATGCTGTTACACGTGTAACTAAAACTCACTCAGGTTACTGAGAACCAGAACAGAGGGATCTACATTTGAAATAAAGTGAACCAACGCAATGAATATGTGCGGGTTAATTGTTAATAATCGTGAAACAAAACATCGCAATATTTCAGTGCAACCATATTTATCCCACATCCGTAATTCTGACCAAATCTTGTCATTTAACTGCACAACTGAAATATATTCATACATATGCATGTTTAATGGGAGACAATTCTGGACTGCAGGCCGTCCAGTGGGTCCTCAGGGACCAGAATTATTAATTTCATTGCAATTATACTCGTCAAAACTGATTTTTGTTTTTTTTTTTTTTGCAGTGAGAGATTTTTATTTACAGTAGCTTGATATTGAAACCTGAAACCTACCTCCCAGGCATCTATGACTAATTTTGTTAAGCAACAAACATGAATACATATTTCAGCATTGACTGGGTTTCTCTCAGTGATCTTTGCGACTGCATTGCATGTAAAAAAATCTGCTGGTTTTACCAGTGGACACAGAGTGCAGTGAGTGGTTTAAAAATAAAGAAAGTCCTTCCAGGTGAAGAGAAGTGACTGTGAAACGCTCCACCATGCCAACCATCATTTTCCTCACTCTGAAGTGCTTTAACTGATTCTAAAATCCCCACCGTGCCGATAAATTTTACAATTGTGAGTGAATTGTGTGTGATTGCTCCGTCCATCTGCTCCGCTCACATGTGCTGTGTGTAAAAATGTCCTGGTTCCGGCGTGTTGACTGTGACACTGCCTTCCATTTCAGATTTCTATACACAGTGGAGGCTGTTTAAAAAAAAAGAAAATAAAAAGGGCTGCGGACAGTTTCTGATCTCAGAGTAAAACAGCCGGTAGGCGATTGAAGTGATCAAAGTCAAACATGTCCACGGTGGACAGTAGACATGAGTGGACAACAACCGCAGGTCATTGGAGACCAGATAAACAGCTGTCGTCCCTGGAGCAGCGTTTCCATTAAAACACACTGTAGCGCGTCGTTTCTGGGTTTTGTCCCTTACGTTATACATCGGATGAACAGCTGTGACAGAACGATGTGGGACCAGTCGGTGCTGGTGTTAAACCTGCAACCAGGAAAAAAAAGTGTTTCACATTGTGGTGAAAAACCACATGGATGTGTGTATGGTGTGTAGTATATATATGTATATATGTATGTTTATATGTATATATGTGTGTGTATGTATATAGACATGTGTGTGTATATATGTGTCTATATATGTGTGTATATATATGTACAGTATATACATATATATGTGTATGTATGTGTATATATGTACGCGTGTATATATATATATACATATATGTATGTATGCCATCCATCCATCCATCCATGTATGTAAGCATATTCAGTATATATTTATATATATATATTCACTTTCACTTTTTTCACTTTTTATATATGTATATACATATACATATAGTACATATATGTATTTATATATATGTTTAAAGGTATGTATATGTGTTTATGTATGTATGAGAGCGTCTGTGCTTTTGTGCATATATGAGTGTATGTGTGTGTATTTATGTATGTGTATGTGAGCAAATGTATTTGGTGAACATGTATGTGTGTGTGCTTTTGTGGGTATACATGTATGTGGTTGTGTGTGTGAACATGTGTGAGTGTGTGTGTGTGTGTGATCACGTGTGTGGTCTATGGATTGCGTCATTTGTGGGGACGTTTTTGGTTAAGATGTGGATTAAGAATAGACGTACATTTGTGATGATTAAAGTTAGGCCAACGAGTTCGAGAAAGTGTTTATTGTTTACACGAAGTCCTTACAAGTCATGAATACCAGCCTCTGTGTGTGCGTGTGTTGCGATAATTATCAAGGCCCTGAACGCCACATCCCTCCAGTGCTGCTCACTAATCGTTGTCTCCTGTTGTCCCTGTGCCAGAATGGTGGCGTTATTGAGTTCAACGCCACATCATCAGGACTGTGAGGCAGCAGCCGTCCACCGCAGGGGGTCACTTC